TTATAATCAGGACGGTATAGATATGTACAGTTATATTAACAGTTAAAAACATATTAATCAGAGTCAAACTCGTCTACATGTAACTGTTGGCAGATGTTTAATTTTTTCAACAATGCAAATTCTTGTTTTACCATGGTAACCTATTTGTTATAAAATATCTCTACTCAGCCATATTTCCTGTCAAAGCTGTAGTTGCAAGGATCGAAGCAGTAGCATTAATCAACTCCGGATATACAAATAACATGATAAGCACAATCACTGGAATATTTTTGTGTTTCAGTGCATTAAATGAGGGATGACGATCCTGACAGGGATTCAATATTAGAGTGTATGCTACTCAACCCTTGCTGGGATTATTCTTACAATGCCATGATACACTATATAGTTTACTCCAAATATATGATTCCTCTGGACATCTGAGGAGCATTGTTAGCTTATTCTTCTAAGGCTCTGTATGTCTCTGTGCAGAGTTGTGCCCCTTGGGACAAATATCTGATTCCTCTGGACATCTGAGGAGCATTGTTAGCCTATTCTTCTAAGGCTCTTCATGTCTCTGTGCAGAGTTGTGCCCCTTGGAACAATGATATATATGTTCAAATCCTGGTTTGCCCAATTCATGTTTCTAGGTCTGTCAGCACCGCACGACAGTGCTCCTGAGTTGTAAACGTCCGAGACCTGCACCACTGCATGTTTTCTTCCAACATTCAGTTGACAAGTCATGATATACCAGTAACTGGGCTACTGGTCAAATTGTCATTAAACCCAATTCGCTCACTAATTCTGATTATCTGAGGACTTCTTCGTGGGAGATCCTGTCAGGGGAACTTTAATATAACTTTTAGGGTTAAAAATTCTTGGTACAAATCAACAAAGCATTCAGTCAGGCTTCTCTGATTTCTGTGTCCCGAAAGCTATTGTATTCGAGTCCTGAATGTAAAAACCTGAAGTCCTGTTGTTATGTTGTTATGATATATCCATCCTGTCTTTACTGATCACCATGTCATCTACATCCAAAAGGAGGCCTAATGGTTAATGATTATGACATTACGTCGAAGACCCAGATTCAATTCCCCACATGGGTGCCATGTGTGGAGCCCATTTCTGGTGTCCCCCATTGTGATAGTGCTGGAATATTGCTAAAAGCGGCGTAAAACTAAACTCACTCACTCCAAAAGGATGTACTATCGTGGTTCCATTTGTTCTCTGTGACGTTGTTCTTTTGCTAAGGTTGAATGTTCCAATTGAAATGAAGAAATGAATCCAAATTGTTTTAGTACATTGACATCTGATTTACTGTAGACCCAAAATTATTTAAATTTTGCATTCACGGCTTCCAATTGGATTTGGCTGATTACATTGTAGATATGTGCGTAGAAAAAAGGAAATATCTTGGTATCCCTATCTTACTTTGTGAAGTATATAAATATATTGTACTTAGTACAATGAAGCCATGACATTTTATGCCTTGCAAATACTGTTACTCTCTTTATATACTGGGGAAATGACAACCAATATTATATCTCAAGGACGATCTGAAAACCATTGATATTATGGGGGTGGTAAGTATCCTGGGGCCCAGTCCAGAAAAAATGTTTGTAGCACAACGTCATTCGTTATCCTGTGCTAAACTATATATACTGGACAAATAAGTTAGGGATATTGGTATTTTTATGATTGATATTTTATCAGTTTGTCAATGAATAAATAGATCATTATTCATAATTTAAAAAATTACATATATCCCTAACTATTTTTGTCCAGTATAGTTACAATAACTTGTAACGTTAAGAATGCTTTTTTTTTAGCAGGCCCCTGTATTGGTTATATGGTTGGTGTTACCTGCCAAAGCATGTTTCCAGCTAAAGATAGCTTTTTGAATTTTTTAAAGGAAGATATCTGTGGAGGGTCTGGCAAGGCCTAGTCATCAAATACACCAAATTCCCTGTCCAGAGTTATGTCCTTTAGGTGTACTTGAAACCTGTGGCATGGGTTTAGATCCTCTAATGTTTCTAGGTGTTTCAGCACCATACTCTTCTAGATGGGTTTGGCAAAGTGGTAAACATGCCACACTGACTTGAAACTTTTCAAAACAACATTAAACTAATCAGTCCTGTGGAATCCATGTTACACTGTAATGTATAGGTCTCAGCTCTAGAGTAATGTATAAACTATTAGCTAGTAAACATCGGGTCTCCTGGGTGGCATTTTCTCATTGTCATATGGTACATTTGTCTTGTACGATTCAAAAGAAGTTTCATCAACTGCAGCCAGTATTTGTGAAATAGATGCCTATTATACTGAAGATTCACATATGAACCTATGAGAAAGAAAACGTTGACATTGTGTGGTGTATTTGTCACATGAAGTGTTTTCCATATACAAGATTCGTATGCAGCGTCACCAATTTCATATGCTCTGAGTATTTGTCGCTGTTCATATGTGCCATATTTCTGTAATTCTTGAGTTATGTTCTAAAGAGATGATATATGTGAGTATTGGATGGTTTCTAAAGCGAGTGTGGGTGGTTATTAAGGTGAGTTTTGGAAGATTATTAAAGTGAGTATTGGAGTGTTATTTAAGTCAGGTATGGTGATTAATGAAAGTATCTGGTGTTAAGGTGAGTATGGGTGGTTATTAATGTACCAGTAGTATTGGAGGGTTATTAAGTGAGTATAGGGATGTTATATGAATGAGTGGGTTGTTATTAAGCCAGTATTGGAAGGTTATAAAGCAAGTATTGAAAGGTTATAAAGCAAGTATTGAAAGGTTATAAAGTGAGTATTGAAAGGTTATTAAGCAAAGTGTTAAAAGGTTATTAAAGTGAGCACTGAGTGGTTATTAAAGTCACTATAGGGAGTTTATTAAAATAAAGTTTGGTAGTTATTTAAGATCGGGTTATTACAATATGATATGTCTTATTTAATCATCAGATAAGGAACATGTACCTGCAACCATTAAATGTTAAACAACATTCACCCAATAACTTGTCAATGCCCATCCTACAACCTTCTCCACAACTGTACTACACTGTGAGGGTGTAACATATGTTATATGAAAGGGTAGTTAGTGCTAGGGCATTCAAAATAGACATCAATGGAAGGGTGATGTGCTGTCCCAGAGACGTGGAGAGTAAAACCATGTTGGTCTTAATCTTGTGTGAAAACCTGCCTCATGGGCAATACTGTAGAGAATGTCCATAAGGCCAGACCAATTTTATTTCTTGTTTTAGGGATCCGCCAGTCGTATTTTTTCAAGAATAAGAAAAAAAAAATTAATTAATTTTCCCCACTCAAAAAATAAATCCTCATGTTTTTATTGTCCAAAAATGTAAACTTACAAAAAAATATGTTTTGATTGTTTTTTGCCCCATATAACTTCATAAATTGCCCAAAAAATAAAATACTTTTAGTATTTGAAAGGAAAATTATTTTGACTAGTGATTTTTATTTATTTTTTTTCCCTCCTGCCTTTAGGTTTTCTCAGGACAAAAATCCGTAAAACAAGAAATTAAATTGGTCTGGCCTAAGCATCCTATTCTCAGAAGAAGCTCCAAAGCATATGAAAGCCACGGTAGGTAAGTGGGTTCGATCACTCGCGTGAAGCTCCAAAGCATATGAAAGCCACGGTAGCTGAATGGGTTCTGTAACTCTTGTGAGGGAGTTGGATAAGTTACATTAGATCCGATTTGCTGCCAGTGTTATCCCAAATATAACATGTTACATTTGTCCACTTTCTGAAAGGCATTGTGTATTTTATGCATAATTAGTAGCAGTAATAAAACACTTTTGTCCAAGGTATTATGTTGTGAATATGCACAAAGTGTCATATTCATAACGAATATGTGTCTAGGGATGTTTTGTGTTTGTAGAAAAAAATGTCAATCCTTGAACAGGAATATTTTTTTCTAAAACTAAACTTGTCCTTCACATCATAAACCATCAACCCCCATGTCATTTTTAAATCTAATGTCTTACACTGTACGACATGAACAATTGATTGTCATATATATTATAAAGTGCTGAATGGTTTTCATTTGTAGCCAGCTCTCCCTGTGTGAAGCTACTTATCACCTGTACAGAACCTTGAACATGTCCAGCTTCAGAGTGTGATGTGTTTCCTTGTTGAGCTGAGTGTGTGACATAACAATGCAACTTTTTTCATGTTGAAATAACGTATTTACTGCAGAATAGGAATAAACTGTTTTTCATATCTTGGAGATTACTGTATAATTTGTGAAACTCTGAAAGTCAACATTACAGATACAACAAAGTGATCTGAATGGATGAACCATGGACTGAATGATCACTGCCATCAGGACAAATCACAGGGCAAATAACCCCTGAAGGTCCGGGTTAGAATATTGATCTTCAGTAACCCATGCTTGAGGCGACTAACAGGATTGGGGGGTCAGGCTTGCTGACTTGGTTCCCAATTGCACAGATCATGCTGTTGATCACTGGATTGTCTGGTCCAGACTCGATTATTTACAGACTGCCACCATATAGCTGGAATATTGCTGAGTGCGGCGTAAAACTAAACTCACTCACAGGGCATCAGAGGACATCCATTTAGAGGTCACATCAACATGACCATTAGCGAGCTTTATGGCCCAAGATCTTGATTCAACATTTAAGAACTGAACAACAATTCTGGAATGTCTAATCAGTGGCCAAAATTGTATTACAATACTCAACCATTTGAAATAAAAGAGACTTTTGTGGTTATCATGCTGAATCTGGACAATTTCATACAGCTTCAACTTTTGTTTGTAATACCCTGCATTATCCTGTTTGGGTCGACCTGTAATGAGATTTGCTAAGATCTTTGTGTAGCTGGTGCATGCACTGAGATCTAAATCTCAATGATATTGGTCACCACATCATCCTGTTTACAACCAGCATTGGATGCTAAGCTCCTTTGAAGAGTCATAGGTGATAATGGTGTTTAATTTGTTCATCTCAAGTTTTCTGAACTTTTTAATAACAGTCGCAAGCACCACATTCATTTTGACAAAGTTTATTTTATCTATACATATATTACAATATATATAATATAACAAAGATATACAAAACAATTTCATAATGACCATGTTTCCTTGTTTTTAGTTTCACTACATTGAATTGTACAGCAATAGTGTCCAGATCTAATGAATCAGACAAACAATGGTCTGCACTAACAGAAGCCCTCTAGTATTCCCCATGAACAGACAATTGCCTTTCAGATACCCTGGAAAACTGACTGGAAAGAGTATATAGGCACTTAAAATCAATGACATGATAGCATTCTGTAAGAAAGATAAATGATCCTGAGATGATATAGACACTTTTATATATTTTAAACATGTAGAAATTCGAAAAAATATAACCAAATCATCTAAAGAGAATGAAGACTATTGATCAGTAATTATGAGTTTACAACAAATATCAAATGGAGGCTTTTTCTTCATCTGCCTTTTCTCTGGAATCCTCCACATTGTCTCTACGTGTACTGTGACAATCAAGGTCAGCCTTGGTCAGTGTTGTATGGCCGTCAAATTGTGATCGGCGGAAGGAGGTGTTTGTGATCTCTGTCAGCTCCTGCAGCTGTTGCCTTTGTGTGTCGTCAAGGGTGTCCAGCCGTCGCTTCAGCAGTTGTAGATCTTCCTGGTGTTCTCGCTCCTGCCACCAGCACAAATGAGCAAAGTTAATGCCACAACAACCTCAGTTATGTCAACATAGCAACAATTCTTACCATGCTGTAAATTCAGCAGAGAAATAGAGCCAGGTTTGAGATGTGTGAGCACTGCCACCATGTCATATCTTGCCTGTCTATGAAACCTCATGTCATTACAATTTTAGCACAAAGATCACTTTCTGAAATAGCACCCATTTGTAAGGTAATGAATGGAGACAATGATTGAAAGAAAAAAGAGAAAATTGGGTTTTACACCAAAGTTTACAAATTGTCTTAAATACCCACAACTACAATGTGTTCCTTAGTGCATGTTTATATAATTGCACTAAATATACATGTTTATACATTTCAGAAAGTTATCTTTGTGCTAAAACGGTCATGATTACTGTGGTTAATTATATGTATCATAATATTCTCACCAAATCTAAGACACTCCAGTTTGGCAGTGAGGCATCAAATGGCATATTGATGGTTGCAAATGATTTGTCCCCAATGTTGACATGCCTGACACCAGGCAGCAACATGGCCCGGAACTCTTGGTGGCGCCGGTACAGGTCCTTCCACTGCTTCTTGAGACGGTTATAAGCATCCTGGGGGACACAGCGCCTGTGGAGTATATAGCACAAATGCATCAACATCTGCTGTCACAGAGAGACGCTCCCTGTGGAAGTATGTATAACATCAGTGGTCAGGGAAGAAAACCATGCCCATATAAGTATGTAAAAGCAGATGTCATAGACAAAGAAAATGCCTGTTCAGGTAAAACATAAGCAGTAGTGTTGGGAATTGGTTAATATCTCATAACTGATGATTGGTTCATTACAACCGATCAATCATCGAAAATAGTTGGTTAGCGTCATTTATGAAATTTGTTAAATGCACATAAAAATAAGGAAAAAAACATGTAGTTCTTTTGGGGCTTTCTGGCAAAATTTCACATCTTTAAAGGATGACTAGTATGTAAGGAACATAAATTTCTTGGAGCCTTTAAGATAAATTCAATCATGACTTGAAACGAGCTTGTAGTGCTTACAAAATGTAACAGACAAAACCAACCATGTGTTCTAAAATTGGTTGTGTTCGATTATGAGGAATTATGATCGATTGCTTGGTCGTTTAGTCACTACGACCAATCTTCGATTATTTCAATTAATCGGACCACCACTAATAAGCAGTCATAGAAATACTGTTTGTAAAAAATAACATCAGCTGTCTAACACTAACAGGGACAGAAGGAACTTCAACATCCAGACACATTAGCTTTTACCAACTTCACACAAAGTTTGATCTCACATTTACAGCACTTTTGGCATCACTTTCAGTAGATCAGATGGTATTATGGTGGATATTTTGGCCTAGCTGACCTAACCGAACACAACATAATTTTACCAAGCTCTGGCTGGTGGCTAAAGTCAAAGACTGTACATTATAATATTTGTGCATGTAGTGCCGACAACTATGGCAATCACAATCAAATAGAAATATACAGATAAGTTACAGAACTAAAATATTTCTCCTTACGAAAGTGCTTGTTTCTCAAGGTCTAGCTCTGTGTTCTTAGCATCAAGCACCTGCAGCTTTTCTCGGAGGTGATCTGTTACTCTGTGATGCTTCTTCTTGTACTGCAAAGAAAACAAAGAACTGCTATACGTCCAGTCTGCATACAGATATGTACATTATTCAACACAGAAAATCTCTTTCAATGTTGAACTTACCCAAAACATTAAACCACAGACTTCAGAAACTAACGATCTGCATTGAGTTTAGTTTTACGCTGCTTTTAGCAATAATCCAGCAATATCACAGCGGGGGACACCAGAAATGGACTTCACATATTGTACCCATGTGGGGATTCGAACCCAAAGGGTCTTCAGGGTGAAGAGCCAATGCTTTAACCACTAGGCTACCCCACCGCCCCTAACAATTTGCAAAAAAATACTAAAATCTTAACCTGTTATGTCATATATAGGAACCTCCCTCCCTGTTTCCTTGAAACTTCCTTTTCCTCACTGATTATAAAAGTGAAAATGTACAGATAGTATGTTATACATCGCAGGAGATTGCTTCAATGACAGCAGATCATACAGTACACAACGTTATATCAGGTTAACGTTATATAACTAAATTTGCGGCTATATAACCACCGGTATACGACCCAAATTTGTCAAACACAATACAGTTATCCCCAAATTCAGGCATTAACTTTTGCTGGAAATGTAATGTGTAGTAATAAAGCATGAATCCCAAGATAATGTGGCCTCTATCTCTGGATCTGGGCATATATTTGAAGATGAACAAAACATAAGACATCCATGGTGGCAGAAACTGCACCTACACGCCAGGGTCCCGATTCACATAGCTCATAACGCTATGAACACTTTGTGGATCTCTCTACCCAGTGTCTTAGTCACTTACTGTCTCACCTTTTTATGAATGGAAGCTGCTTTCTGTAGTTTAGAATGAGCATTGCTGTACTTCTCCTCTAATTCCTGAACCCTTAACCCCAGCTGTGTCTTCTCATCCACTAGTGCTGCCCTCTGGCTGGCCAGGATACGATCATGGTTGTCCTGAATCTTCACCATCTGATCCTGTGTTAATCTCAGTTCATCTTTTAACAACTCGTTTTGGTTCCTTAACTTGATCACTTGATCAGTCATGTCATGTTCATTTCCTAGGAAACCACCCAACTCCGCTTCAAGCTTGCTGATTTTACTCTTCAGATCAGAGTTTTCTCCCCTTTCTCGCTCCAACTGACTTTGTAGAGACTCGAAATTGTGTATTCGTGTCCTGAAAACAAAATGACAATCAGTCATAGGTGGTATACTGGTGGTACATAACATAAAAACCTGGGACCCAGTAAAAAAGTGTCCGCAGTACTACACCATTCCTAAGCCCATGATACAGTATAGAGTTGTGATAGGTCTTAAGCCCATGATACAGTATAGAGTTGTGATAGGTCTTAAGCCCATGATACAGTATAGAGTTGTGATAGGTCTTAAGCCCATGATACAGTATAGAGTTGTGATAGGTCTTAAGCCCATGATACAGTATAGAGTTGTGATAGGTCTTAAGCCCATGATACAGTATACAGTTGTGAAAGGTCTTAAGCCCATGATACAGTATACAGTTGTGATAGGTCTTAAGCCCGTGATAGGTCTTAAACCCATGATACAGTATAGAGTTGTGATAGGTCTTAAGCCCATGATACAGTATAGAGTTGTGATAGGTCTTAAGCCCATGATACAGTATACAATTGTGATAGGTCTTAAGCCCATGATACAGTATAGAGTTGTGATAGGTCTTAAGCCCATGATACAGTTTACAGTTGTGATAGGTCTTAAGCCCATGATACAGTATACAGTTGTGATAGGTCTTTAGCCCATGATACAGTATAGAGTTGTGATAGGTCTTAAGCCCATGATACAGTATAGAGTTGTGATAGGTCTTAAGCCCATGATACAGTATAGAGTTGTGATAGGTCTTAACACTAACGCTTTATGGATTGGGACCCTGGTAACAAAGGTTTTCTTATTAAGATGAAATATTAGATCCTCCAAATACAAAGCTCACTTAGCAAAACTAAATTTCAGAAAAGCATTAAAGCAGTGACTATCAACAAAGGAAAAATTAAACAACTCCCTACTTGAGCACTAGTAGTTCCTTCTCTGCTGAATCTCGAGCACTGTTTGCTGAAGATATTCTTTCTCCCATACGCTCTTGCTCTGCATGTCTTGCAGCTTCCTCATCAATCTTTCTTCTGTCAACTTCCTGAAGCTTAGCTTCCAACTCCAACCTTGAAATAAATCATAAAGTAGTATCAACAGGTCAAATAATCTCCACAAACATTCTCATTCAAATTGACAGGTCAAATAATGCACAATCTCCACCAACAATCTCATTCAAATTGTTCCTATTTTAGATGAAACAACTTCTCTATTGGCGTTATAGATGTATTAGAAAACTGGAATGGTTATTTTCATCGATTCTATAGCTAACATGTTTAATGAAGGACAAAAGACTGACTTTTCATTCTCTGCTTGTGTGAACTTGGTGAACTCCTCCTCCCTGGCAGCCTGAACTCGTCTCACGGCCTCACGCTCCTTCTCCTCCAGCGCCAGACTCTGACGCTCTATCTTATGCTCCGAGATTTCAATGTTAGTCTGCATATCTGTAGAAGATAACAGTGTTGTAAGTATACTCACATGGAAACGCATAAAGAATATGCACTGATATCAACCTATATGAGGATTGAATGACCAATAAGCAGGATTCAATTGTATAATGGGACTAAACAAAAAAATTAAACAATGCTATCTATAGAAATCTTGTTTTCTCTTCAAAATCAGGGTCCATATCTACATAGCACTGTTAACGTTACGACCTATCATAATTCTATAGTTTATCATAGGCTTACGATTGTCGTAGCACTACGAGCATTTGTAGATCAGGACCCAGATCTTTAACACCAATACAACATCTGTCTACAGGAAGACTTTTCAACATCTTCATAGGCGCTAAAGAACGATAGGCAGAAAATACTAGGGGTGACTATTGAGGAGAAACAACTATGCCGATTGCAACATACTATTGTGATAGCGATAGTCTGTTGAGACCAACTATTGCAATACTATTGCAATAGTTTTTTCCACATTGAATTGTCTCATTTGAAGTCATTTCCCAAGTGAATGTACAGTTTATATGAAATAATAACAAGTTGAAGTAGTTTCAGTCTCTTTAATAACTGACAGACTTGAAACCCAGATCAAGTAAACAGTTAACAGGGCAGATAACTCAAAATTAAAGTGAACGAATCTGGTACTTCTTGTATTTTGCGCTGCACATTTATCAACGGAAGTCAATTACTAAACTATCGATAATCATACATACTATCGATGCATCGATAGTTTTAAAAATTTTACTATAACTGGTATATTTATATACTTATCCTATCTCACGGTATGCACCTCTCTTCTTCTACGACCATGTGTGGAAATGTGCTGTAGGTTAAGTTAAATCACAAGTTATCTGGCCTCTGACCCCCCGACCTCTGACCCCACTCCGATAGCAGTACCTGTCAATCATCTCAATAAGCGTGTCGATCGCTCAGATGATCACGTGACGGTCTGTGCCTGTCATTCTCGTCTTTGAGCTTCCAGTAATCTGTGATGTGGGGCAGGTCGGGTGGGTATCCATTGCGTGAGATAGGATATATATAAAAATATACCATTTATAGTAAAATTTTCAAATTTTTAAACTTATCCTATTTCACGGTATGCATAATCCCACGTTTGGCAGGAGGGCCGCAGATTACCCTGTCAATACATACAACCGTGAAGACGCATAACCCAAGGAGGCCAGGAGAAAGCACCAACTCCCGATATGCAAACTCCAAACTTGTGATGGGTTGCTTCAGATAACCCCTTGGCTTACACAGCACAAAAACTCTAGGGAGTGGGCGATCCCGAATTAATGTAGTTTTCAGCTGCAACTTTTGACAAGCAAAAGGACGCAGTTTGGCAAGTAGGCCCCGCTGCCCCGCGATTTATCAGGTGACCCCAGTGAATTAAAGTCGAGGACCTTAATCGAAACTACCCCCCACAGACACACGCTGGAAGGCGGTGAAAGAGGGAATAGCCCGGTTGCTCAACTAGTTTAACGTTCAGTACCAATCCCCCTAACTTACCAAAGGTGAGAAAGGACTTAGGAGCGGAACGATTCAAAAACCACGCAGGTAATCGGAAATCAACACTTCACTGACGTAATTGCTCAGAGAGTAGAGGTCAGTAAGAGGAGTGTCGACCACCCCTGCATGTAGCACAAGACTGGTCTCACAGTCTATCGAGTCATAACTACGACAGTGCAGACACGCCCTACCACCCTAGGTGAGGTGGTCTATGCCCAATATAATCCATACCAATAAGAAAGATAGGACCGATATCTTTCATGATATAGAGAATGCAAAACATACATGAAGGTAGGAACTGCATCTTATCTGCGTTGCCAGCCGACAACAACTGCTACGCCAGAACCAATGGACCCAGATGGTGAAGACCGTCCACGTCAGTGACAGACAGATCCTGGAAGTAGGGTGAGACAAAGACCGAGTCCAACTCCGAAAACAACCTTCCATGATGCCGTGAAGAAAACAGTTCTATGTCGCGCCATCGTAGAGGTCAAGGCTCTTGTCTCACGAGGGTTGGCTGTAGTAGGAAGAAGAAGGTCAACACAGGCGTAGGCATGAAGGATGGTAGATCGCATCCCGAAGGTCAGAGTGGTACAAGAGACTTCTGTAGATGAGGCAGATGAAAGAGAAATAAACCAGTCTCTTGTGTAACCTACGACGGTCCATGGAGGCAGTTAAAAGACCCGTAAAGTCCGGACAAGACATAGGGAGAGATTCTCGCTGTCGTCAGGGCACAAAATTGAAGACAGCGGCGGGAAGGCGAAAAGTCTGTCCGGCTGTCCAGGCAACTGGTTTCAGCGAAGAGATCCCACTTCAACCAGGGAGGGCTTTGACATCCAGTGACATCCAGTGCGTGAAGCTCGGATGCAGGCAGCAGTCGCAAGAGCCAGGAGGAAGAAAGACATAAACGTGAAATGAAAGCCTTCACTGCCAGAGGTTCATACTCCTCTGACATGAGATGATTAAAAATCACAGAAAGGTCCCAGGCTGGTGGCCAGAACTTTCGGGATTGATCAGCAATTTGTAAGATCTAAGGAGAGACTGGAGCTCAGGGACAGTTGACACCCTCGCACCCGTAGCCGGCGCAATAATTGTGTTACGCATGGCCAGGTATGTAGACAAGGTGGAACCCGTCAATTCCTTGGAAGTTCAAGGGTGCTGGAGGTACTCCGCGACCATCTGCGGCGATGCTGTAGTGGGAGATATAATACCCATCGTATAGCAGTACGCTTCAAAATACTTCCATAGTCATCACAGAGTGGCCTGGTAGAAGTTCAATGCGCCGTGGTAATCGCCGCAGCCACTCGCTTGGAATATCCCTTTGCAGTTAGAGATTCAAGTAAAGGCACCAGGCGTGAAAATTAAGTGTGAGCGGAGACCATGCAGCTGATCGGAGTGAAAATGAACCATAATATCGGCTTTACGGGAAGTGGTACTGGAATGGGTCGGCCAAGTCTTGCAGGTTTGGAACAAACTAACGAGCCAAAATGGTGCAACCCAAAATCAGTGTCAACCGCTGCGCGTGCGTAATTTGAGCAGTATGCGTGGAAGTAGCGCCACTGGTGGAAACGCAATACGCGGTCAAGTCATGAGAGTGAACGTTTCACAAGCGCACCCACCATAACAGAGGGGTGTGGAGCACTCAACCAAAGCGGCGCATTGGAAACAACCACCTGAGGTAAACTAGGAGTCTGTGAAATCATCACCAAGTTAGAAGGCCGAGACTGTGCTGCAGAAGTTGTTAGCACTACCACTCTCGGAGGAGACAAAACTTGTCTGGAGACGGGACTAGACGCTAGACAAAAGAGACGATGGAGATACTCGCTCAAGTAGGAGTCTGACTCTGAGGCCACCTCTAAAAAATCTATGTCCGGTGACAGTGATTTAGATCAACGAACTGCTCTCTTCGAACGGCGTTCCGATATAGCACACTTAAAAGTTGAAGGACATTCAGCAGTTGTACGCCAATCTCTGTTCGATCTACGTCTAGATGCAACCCATATAGCTGGAATATTGCTGAGTGCGGCGTAAAACTAAACTCACTCACTCACTCACGATGCAACCCACTCTAGATGATGAAATATCATCATCATTCAAGTGTGAACAAACAGAACACCGATGTGACCAACTACAAAAGCCTATATCTACAATCCACACAAAAAGCGAGTGGATCAGCAGCGGAAAAGTTGCTGTTGCACTGATCACAGTGTTTGCGTTTCTTAGAAGTACTTTGATTCTATTTATCCCATATTGACAATCAAATAATGTCTAACTGAGAGAACAACACACGTCCACTAGGTGTAGCGACGAGAAAGAGAATGACAGGCACAGACCGTCACGTGATCATCTGAGCGATCTGCACGCTTATTGAGATGATTGACAGGTACTGCTATCGGAGTGGGGTCAGAGGTCGGGGGGTCAGAGACAGATAACTTGTGATTCAACTTAGCCTACAGCATGTTTCCACACATGGTCGTAGAAGAAGAGAGGTGCATACCGTGAGATAGGATAAGTTTTAAAAATTTCATTTCTACCACCGATTAATTGCTATCGGAGACTCAACAATTGCAATCCATCGATATTTCGATGCATCGTTACAGCCCTAGAAAATAATATCCACAATATTGGTTTCAAGTAAAATTCTTTCAATCTTGTGTAAGTCCTTGTAAAGGCATTGCCCAATGAAACCTCAATGTAGTGATAAGACAGTAGCAGGAATAACATTTATTGCCAATAATGCTGAACATCTTAACCACTACAATTGAGAGATGGAGAGTAAGACAGAGCAAAGTTCTGCTCACCTTCCACCATGTTAGCCAGCCTGTCACGCTCCCTCTCCAAATCGCCCCTCTGTTTCAGCATCTCCATCTTCAGATTGGTCAGCTCCACCTTGTTCTTGTGTGTCAGCTCCTCTACTCTGTTCTTGAACACCAGGTTCTCCTTCTCCAGTTCATGGATCTTACCCGTGAGTCGGTTGTGGGTCTCCCCAGTCCCGGACAGCTCCCTCTGGAGGCTGTCTGACTGACGACGCAGGGATTCCCTCTCAGCCTACAAACAAATATCTTCATCTCTACAAGTAGGCAATATTCATGCACTTTCGCAACGAAGGGTTTCAAGGTCTGCATGACAAGCACACACTTTAACCAATGAGAACAACTTGTTCTATACAGCTGCTTTAGTAAATACATATCAAATCATATGCTTCACACATATAAATACCAACATATTAATCCTTACAAAAATATTACAATCTTTTCAACTGAATTTTCAGCCACAAGAGATGTGAGTTCCAACATAAGTGAAACATTTTCAATCAACAGAGCTTATTACAATTGACAGTTTAAGCTACAATAGCCCACCTCAAGAGTCTTGATTACAGCAGTGTTCTCTGCAAGCTGCTTGGACTGAATGCGAGTGACACTATCAGACTCCAGTCCAATTTTCTCCCTTTGATCGCGGATCTCCTCCATTTCTGACAGAAGGCTCTTCAGCTTGAGGTGGAGCTGAGCATTCTCCCGCTGTAACACTCGCACCTTCTGAGAGTCTGCCGTGTTCTCAGTCGTGATACGACTGATTGTTGTATCCCTCTCTTTTCGGAGGTTGGTCACCTGCATGGAATAGTCACAATGCAACAGCATTCTACATTGTGTACAATATCCCATCAAGAATACACTGTTTCCTACCACTTTGAACAGTATTCCATGTATATATCATAGGGGGGAAGCTTAATGTAGCCAGAAAGTGATGCATGTCTCAGATGTTTACAACTTGTTGAAAAACCCTCAAGCACAGGTATGGCATGGACAAACCAGAAACATAGCCAAGGCAGACTGGGATTCGAACCCACAATCATAGATTTCTGCATTGACCATGGGATGCAACTTTGCACAACGAACTATGGCACCTGAGACAACTGTGCCCTGAACAACAGTAAAAAGGATACAACTTTAATAACACACACTTTCCCCTGAATTTTAATGCCAGCATTTCTCACATACATATATATTCTCATACCCCATCAGACTTACCTCTGCATTGTGCTGCATCTTCACCTCTTCCAAAACTCTCTGACTCTCCAGCTTGTCATGCTCATACTCGGACTTCAGGAAGGAGAACCGTATCTGACTTTATTGAGTGCGTTCCGATACTCCTCAATCTCCTGCTCCTGCTTGTGGTACTTCTCCCGGTAGGTCTTTTCCAGGTCCTCAGTCACCTGTAGCTTGAGGATGTCCAGTCTCTGGGGGGTCACTACCTGTAAGAAGGCACAGCATTGTCAACACTACTACAGTGTGTGTGCGTGCGTGTGTCTGTGTAGTTTAACATCACTTTTTGCAGTATTCAAGCAACACCATGTCCTGGGACGCCGCACACATTAACCAATGGGCTAGCCCACTGCCCTCGAATTACTGACTAAGCTTACCAGTTGGGTCTAACCCATCACAGAACAGAATTTCAGTTATACCATACAAAATCAGTTTAATATTAGTGAAAAGTAGATATTTAAACCCATAAGCACAAGCCACAGCTGTTAAACTGTCTTCAGGGGAACAACCCTCCAAACCCTTAAGCCAGAGATAGTGCCCTCTCCATTGCATTATGATAATAAAACATCCTTGTGATCTTGTAACAAAGGTAACTACAAAAACGCTTAAAAAGATTTATACATGGTATACATCCTTGTCTATGTGCTAAAATATATCTCTCTGTAGTAATGGTATCTTAGTTCAGCCAGCACCTATGCACCGAAGTCTGTTACCACAGAGTTTAAAACTTGCTCGAAAATGAAGCAAATTATAATACAAACTATTCTGCATTACCACGTTCATGAATTAAGTAATTTAACATATCCAGCATGATGATTACACCTGATGGACTGGATGTCAGACATAATTAGTACTCGATTAACCTCTGCCCTGACACACTACAGACCTTGGTACGAAGCTCCTCGACCTCAGCTGTCCTCTCTATAAGTTCTCTCCTGGTTTGTTCCAACATTGACTTGTACTTCTCCTGTACAATGCGGCTCTCCTCAATAGTAGTCTTAACCTCCGTTTGTAGATGCATGTACTCATCTTGTAATCTGATCACATCAAAACAGAAATAATCTAATCAATAAATAAGAAACTATCATTTAAGAAAGAGTTTCAAATGTATTATCATGATTATCTAACACAAATGAAAAGGCCTAGTTCTTTGTTAGAACTGCAATGTGAAACTATTCCCTTATGTGCACTAACCACTTAAAACATGGCCTACAACTACATAACAGATGAAGAAGGTGACTTTAAACTCCTATCTGAATAAGACTGATCTCCTAGTGGTTAATGCATGACAATCCCTCCTAATCCTCTCACCTTGAGTGTTCTAGTTTCAGCTGCTGGTAGTTAGTTTTATGTTGCTCACTGCGCATTCGCTCATCTGTCAACAGCTTCTGCAACTCTGTTTCCTGCATCAGTTGTGGCAGCTGCTGCGCAAGTGGTGACCTACCCCCCTGCAAGGGACTCCCGGCCAGGAAGCTAGCAGTTGCCATCTTTCTGCCCGCACCCTGGAAGAGATTAACAGCACTTGGCATAACCTGGCAGCTATACTTTTACATAAATGAAAATTTAGAATGTGGTTTACCTTTTTCAAATACATAAAATAGCACTTCATGAGCATAATGGAACATGTGGTGTAACATCTAACCTGGTAATTATCGTATATTGCTAGACTAGAGTTTTAAAGATTTATTATCAATGATGTCCAGAGCCATTTATCCTTAGTGAGTGAGTGAGTTTAGTTTTACGCCGCACTCAGCAATATGCCAGCTATATGGTGACGGTCTGTAAATAATTGAGTCTGGACCAGACAATCCAGTGATCAACAGCATGAGCATCGAAATACGCAATTGAGAAACGATGACATGTCAACTAAGTCGGAAAGTCTGACCACCTGATCCCGTTAGTCGCCTCTTACGATAAGCATAGTCGCCTTTTGTGGCAAGCATGGGTTGCAGAAGACCTATTCTGCCCCAGATCTTCACGGGTCTGCATGTATCCATAGCCACAATAAATTAATTTTTAGATTTTCTGTCATACATTCAGAAAGGTAAGTGTAATTTTTTCAGTATCTACTTAATGAAACCTGCAGAAGTGTACATAAACTGCTGAGGGGTGTGATTTGTACGGATCATACATGTTTGGGAGGACTACAAAAATAGTGTAACTCTTCAACAGGATAACACCCAGACCCCATACAGTGGGTTGGGTCTGAGGGTTGATACAGGAGTTCTATGTTATGAATTGGCCAGCCAGGTATCCAGACATGAACACCATTGAACAGTTGTTGGATAAGCTAGGAAGCTTCCACGAGTCATCTGTGCTTTCTCATGTCTATCAGACTGAAAGCATATGTTGGAGCGAAAGGAGGGCAAACTCAATACTGAGTACAGTTGAGGCCCACTTCGAGATATGGTGTCACCAATTTGTACTACTGATATTGACCCTGGCAAGAACTTATTCACCAACGATTCTTTAACTGAATGTTATTGGTTATGAGAATGGTTCTTCTATATCTATTAGTAAATACAACATACAAAATTAACTGTGTTCTAAATAGCGTATACAAATAAAAACATATTTGTTCGGAGCCACTATAGGATATGTTCGCCACCCTATCCAAACCCCAAACTAACCCTTTGAGTATCAGAGAAGGATTATTGGTGGAATAAGGTAAACAAAGAGGTAAAATAGTTACATAATTAGGTGGCAAACGTATTCTATACTCGCACCAAAATATATTGACAATTATCCAGACACAAAATAAACAACAATGAAAAGGAGACATGGATGGGAATCAGTTTGTAAATTTGAAACACTTCGATGGACATTCATCCAAAGTTACGAAAAGAAAATACATTACATGAGAGCCAGGTTTGGAGATTCTAAAAAAAAAATACCAAACATACCGTTCGAGTCAGGCGATACTGGTCTTGCAATACTGTTTGCGATTGATTATCAAGATGCCTAAAGAACTGACGTTTGCGAAATCACATGGCACATCAATCAAGTCCATAAATGCGAGCGACTTGACTGTGTTACTGTTATACCACCCAACTTAGATGACAGATATTGCCCAGGGCGACATGCCTGGACGCATCATGAAAAGCGCACAGAAAAATTATTATACCCAAGTATGCTATATCAATCAACAAACATAATAAATACCACGTTTTAGTAAACATACCGTGCTGTAACGATACTGTGTGTGTTTAAACAAAGCAGTATCTGCTCCGTTAGTTATTCTATGTCTCAAGTCATTTTGCATGTCTGTTCAAACTTGACAACAGTAAAGCTACGCATGCGCACGCCATGTTTCCGGATTGAGTTACCGTTCCTGAATGTAGAGCACGACGTCATTTGCGTTAGAGCAATATACGTGCTTTTATGTAATTGAACCAAATGAAATGTTTGTTGTTTTTATCCCCAGAATAATACTACAACATTAACCCAGCATATTAAAATATAACGTAAAATTTGACATTAACATTACCCAACAACGAATTCTCTTCGTTTTAACAGTTTTTAATCAATGTCGTCGGCACGCTGCTTTGGAAACCTCTTTCTATTCTGGGCTATCAAAGACCAAGATGGTCCTACATTATTTCGCTCTTGCAAAGACAGTCTTTGTGTAGCCTATATTAAAAGGTATATATCACCCATGTACTGTCGAACAACTAAACACATCTGTATTAGCATGTACCAACCAGAGAGTAGCTCAGAGTACCTTCAAATTATCGTGTCTCGACCAGACAAACTAAGAAATATATGGTGCGATTACCATAATCACTTATGACCTTCATTTTTACCACACGATACCCAGCCCTTGCAGTATACATTCTAAAAATGCGCATTTGCTAAAACAGGCTGTCGTTGCAATATAGTTGAACTTATCATGTCTTGTATGGTCTATATGATTATTCCGTATGGTATAAGCTCTTCAAGCCCCAGGCCTATTCTATTTGTCGATTAGTGTATCTATTTATCCATTAGAAAATGAATTTATTTTTTAACACGGTTTTTCATAGACAATGGGTTGAACGTTTGGATGTGGCGTCATCACTGATAAATGTTCAGTGATCCATGCTTTCATAAAATATTCACAGCTGTTTTGTATTTTGCGCTCGGTTGAATCTGTCTCCGGGGATAATCGAGATTATTTATTCTCGGGTGTTGATGTTTAATAGGTTTCATCAATTGCAAATAGAATATTTAACTGGGTTGTATGAAACAAACATTTTCAAATATGTCGATTTACAAAACCGTAGTTGAAGTTGATCGACAATACACAGAGGTCACATATCGCATATGGTCTCTGAAATGAATATCATGAAAACATAACCTAAACGAAGTGATAAAGGCTAACGGTTAAAGGTAACAACAATCACTACATAATTTGTGGTATACATAGCTGAATAATGTAAAGAACTGGCCTAAAAGATTTCGATCTGTAATATTATAAAAATCATTGTCGCATTACCTCGTGAGCAGTCTTCCGGTCCATGGTGGAGTTGAATCAGAATGGAATGGGGAGAATAACACGTTTTATGTATGCATTCACAAAACGTTGCCCTCTGTACTGAGAAATGTTGTCTGTTGCACGACGAATGGACACAATCCTACAGCAGATCACGAGTGACAAGCGTGCAGCACGGGGCGTGCACGTGCAGCATGTGCTCGGCGTGATTTGATGTATCTCTTTATACAGAACATAGCAGACCCATCCATATGAAATCAGAGCGTACATCCGCGGGCAAATTGGATCGACTTGATGCCTTTCAGTACGCAATCAACAGATTGAAAGCGATATTAGAATAGGATGAAAAGGGGTATGGAAGGGTCGCAGCGACAGGTGCTGGTTGTAGCGCTAATTAGCGACACAGCGTTTAATTGGACATTGTTTGTTGTACATTGCAATTAGCGGGTAGTTGAGCCCGGATTATTTGGATAACAGTAATTTCCAATCTAATTGTCACTGATTCAACAGCACACGAGCGGAACAATTTTCAACCATTTTTATCCTAGGGTATGAAAGAATGTCATGCTTCTCGCATTGTTTTCTCTGATTCAGTGATGAGTCGTTTTGTAATAGAGTACTGCTGAAATAGGTAAACTGACATTTTAGGGCTCCACGCCTACAATTATGTGCTCTATTATTATTTATTATTAATATTCCGTCCGTTTTACATTTTTTTGTAATCATAACAGAAGATCCAGCGACCAGAATGTGGTTAAAAACGCCGTTTGGCAGCCATATTGGATTGAAGGTTTGGATGGTGTTTCTCTCCAGTTTTCTGAGTACTATTCTCCCAAAATGTGATGAGATCGAACAATCAACTCTAAAGCTTCCAAAATCTCCATACTTTGTGTTCAGGAACGTCTCTGAACTGAGTGCCGAGAAGTGTCCTCGATGGCCGCCATACTGAATCCTATATACTTCTGGGCCAGTGTTGTCTTACATGTTTTCCTAGGCTTTGTGATGCGCCGTTAAACAGTTTCGAGTTGGATACCAGGCGCCATAGAAATCCATTATATATGTATAATTTTGTATGTGTGCATTATATATCATTGTCTAATGTTACACACACATGCAGCCTCAAAGCTTGGAAGATTATGGAGAGAGAATATCAAATAACATATTTTAAACTATCCTCACCAGAACATCCAATAACTGTGAGACGTGGAAGTCTTTAGTAACTAAAATGCCTGTCAAGTTGAAATGCATCCCCACAGTCTTTTTATGATTTGCATTATGTTCCACGTACACCAAAGAGTTATCTAACGTGTTTTGAAAAAGCAATTTTGAGGCAAGACAAAGTGAATGTAATCTACAAATCAACCAAGCATTATTACAGCTTCATTTTAGTGTGATCACAGTTTACAGAAACAATGGGTTCTTATTAAAACAGAAGATATCACCTTCCTTCATGTGCACAATCCTCCATAGCAGATTGACCTATGAGATATAGAATATATCTCCCTAATAACCTGTGTTGATCGTGACCGGCGGTCAAGTTACGTTTATCATCTTCATTAAAGGCTCCATTCTTCGTTGCCTGACTGCATACACGGCATACCCCTAATCAAGCTCATTACCTACAGTGAAACATTGCCATAATCTCCTGTCTCGTTACCAATCTTCAACATGTTAATTGCTCGTAGTCATTCCTGATGTGATCGACGCGGCATGTAAACAAACCCAATTTAACTGTGCTGAAAACACTATAAGAGTGTTTGAGTTTAGTTTTACGCCACACTCAGCAATATTCCAGCTATATGGCGGTGGTCTGTAAACAATCGAGTCTGGACCAGACAATCCAGTGATCAACAGCATGAGCATCCATCTACACAATTGGGATACGATGACATGTGTCAACCAAGTCAGCAAGCCATGGCCATCTGATCCCGTTAGTCGCCTCTTACGACAAACATGGGTTACTGAAGACCAATTTTAACCCGGATCTTCACGGGTCCTATATGCTAATGGATTTTACCAAAGTTGTATGTGTCTACTGGCAAACAAGAGACAAGTTTTGTTATAAGCATATTAATGTAGGCCTACACAAAGGATATCGACTAGTGTAATATACACCGTCGACGCCATCATCAATCGGTCCTAAACACATCATCTATTTATTCATGAACGATTTGCGCTATTACAGGCTCAGGCCCATTCACTGGTTTGATTAATGTCATTCAAAGACATTCTGTTAACAGAAACAGCATGATCATGACGTACATGCAGCAACTTATCAATATGTTACTTGTACACAAATGATCAATATCAAAATTACGCAGTTGTGTAATGTTGATTTATATAATAAAAGTATGATGTTAAAACATGTGTATGTGTAAGTTAGTGAAATGGGTTGACTGCTAATTTTAGATGTATTTCAAATTACCTCACTGTGAGGCCACTATGACTTGCTTTGGTACTTTGCACCAGTTTTGGTATCGAACTCGGGCTTAGGGCGTGATGAGGCAGTGCGTTAACAACTCACCGACCAAGTGTCTGCCTCGTCGTTCTCAGGCTCAATGTAAGCAACTGTCAGATTTGATGCATTGTATATTTCATTCAGGCATTCGTCAGCAGAGTTGGCGTGTGACGTCATGGTTATAGATTGGCCAATCGCGGCCCACTTCCGTTGCACGAGTTTATTGTGCGCGTTAATTTACTCCATGAATCGAAGCAGACGTGGCGGACATAGCTGACAACTGCACCTAACCGTTGAATGTCAAAATACATTTCAATAGGCTGGTGAGAATGCTTTTACATGTGACATTTATTAGATATATATTATTTATATGCTTTTATTCATGCTCTTGAATGTCCTTTGGTAATTACTAAATTCAGTAAAACTGACTACAGTCTGTCTTTGAACGAAGAAGCGGTTTTCAACTTTATGAAGTACATGTTATAATAACAATGACCATAAGCTATGTAGGTGGCCGCTATTAAATTACATAAATTTAAAGGGGGGGGGGGGGATTATGAACGGTCCTTAAATATGAATTTAGACTGACTGAGTTTGGTCTTACACTTTTAGCAATATCCCAGCAACATCACGGCGGGGAACACCAGAAAAAATAGGGTAGGTGGGGGATTCGAACCCGGGTCTTCGGCGTGACGAGCCAACGCTTTAACCACTAGGCTACCCCACCGCCCCTATGAATTTAGAAATGTTCTGTTTTTACAAGCTTTTGCGACCAAGGTGATAACTTATAGAGGTATCATATCAGCTTTGGTGCACAGATATTTGAAAAGTACAATAAAGTTACAAGTCAGCATGTGGATAGGGTTATAGGGGCGGGGTCTAGGATATATGTTTAGAGATATAGATTTGCATGGGTGGATCCAGGAATTTTGAAAGGGGGAGGGGGGTGTTCAGGGTGTTCGAACCCCCAGAACCCTCCCTTGGCTCCGCCAACGCAAAAAAAATCTTCAATGTGTGGTCTTAAGTAATTTTTTATTTTTGGGGGGGTCGAAACACACACACACACACACACACACACACACACACCTCTGGATCCGCCAATGATTTGCCTCAGGTTTGAAGAACCATAATCGATAAACCCAGTACTCACAATAAACCAGGAGGCACTTGCTAGTTAAAATTCTGATGTCGGGTCTCGATACCAGCTGGAATATATCGAATCATTTTGTGAAAATCTATGCATTTCTTTACTAGACGGCCGCTATTTTCACGGAAGTAAGTTCTCATATACCGAACCGAAAGCCTTGTACCGCAATACGTACCGTGCCGTGGTAAGAGCGTGCCGTTTCACCCCTAGTTCTCACACACATTTACCAG